AATATCCCACCTACAGACTTAAGATTTCACGTAATTCTTCCAAAATCTAAAAATTTTAAAAAATTTCAAAATATCCCTTGAAATCTCAATTAAATACACCCCTTAGTATTGGGTTTTGATACTTTTAGGGTTATTGGGTTGGGCTTCAATTTTTCTTCTTTATTATCACTTTTCTAATAATTGGCATGGGCCATTTTTTTTAAGACAAAAAAAAGTAAAAAATTACTTAAATGTTTTTGTTTTTTCTTTCAAATGATATGAAAAAATCTTCATTGTATCTTATAACATTTAAAACATAATATAAATATTAAAAATGTTGTACAAAATAAATAACAATATTTATTATATAAAATTATATACATAAAAAATAAGTAAATAATTATATAATTAGTTCGACCATGGTCGGATCAGTGAATCATTGAACTTGTAGCTTTACATATTTGATAAACGATCTAGTTCTGAAAACCTTGAAAAATATTGAATTGATATTACGCTTCTATAATGTATGTAATTGAATATATATTTTGAATCTAGGAGCTCCCATTCTAAAATTTCACTTCAGAGTGCAGTTACTAAACAAATTTGATAGGAAATTTCATGCTAGTGCAATGCAAGGACGGATGTACATGTACTAATGGTCTGAATTGGACTGAAACCCAGATGTTAACATTTTTAACCCAGATAGTTCCCCTTGCCCAACCCAAACAATAATTAACCCATTTAACTCACTTTATTTAGTTGTGCCCAAAACAGATTATATATGCTTTGATCTTTCAAATTCCCTTTCTCACTAACTCACGGAACGGAAACAGGAACATAAACCCCTTTTGTCATATGTGAATCTATATCTATATCTATATCTCTATAAAAATGTTTGATTATTTTTTAAACAGTAACTATTTCTTTTTAATTTTTTTTTTATTATTATTTTAAAAAATTAATTTAACAATTATGATATATTTCAAATAATCACTTATGGAAATTGCGACTCATTATTTAAGAAAATAATTAAGCGATATAAATATTCATTTTTAAGATACCTTAATTACTCAATTTAATTTAACAATTTATGGTGTATTTCAAATAATCACTTATGGTAAAATCATTTTTAAGATATCTTAATTACTCAAATCATGTAAATTGGCTGATTTACCCAAATATGGGATTTCGACTGCAATACCCTAATTGCACAGATTGTGTAACTTCGGTTGATTTATTCAATTATAATTTTTTATAAAATTATTCTTAAATAATTATGTTAATGGCAGTTTCTATTTAATTATTTTTTGATAACTATTTTTGGGTCTTTTTTATTTTTATCTATAATAAACGTTGGTCTTGATTTTGTTTTGTACACTGAACAATTAATTTCGTGATTAAACTGAATATCATTTATATATTTTATTGATAATACCCGTGCATTGCACGGGATTCATACGAGTTTAAAAAAAAAAAAATGCAACCCCAACAAGTAAAAATATAAACCTTTTACTGAAAAAAGAATAAAAAATCAAAACTTAAATTAATACAATTTCAATAAGTTAGGCTTAATTTGTAACGTTCATTTCTCGGCTAGATCCGGAGGGTTATACATATAACCATTAAATTTTACATGTTTGAACCAACTAACTATGTATTTTATTTATAAAACACCATATTATATTTTTCGGTAAGCTATATATAAATATAATTAACTAGATCATATTGGACATGATAGTTAGATACCTAGCTACTTTGCACTTGTATATGGTTTAATTTTAAATCATTTCTATCAATTTTTATTTGTGGAGATTTCGAAAAAGTTTAAATATTACTTATTCACTAATAATTTCACATTTTCCTTTTTAAAATAAGGAAATGGTACGTTGTGACGTTGTATGGGGATACTAAACAAGACATTATTACTAGACAGCTATTTGGGTAACTATTTTAAATTCAATAGTCAAACCTGCTCCTCTTCTGCTACCACCTTCACCGTTTCTAGTAAAAAAAACTCCCTCACCCACGTGAAAAAGCTATCTTTCCCAACTTTATTGAATTGAGTATATATAATTTATTTAATATTTACACATTCCTTCATGCTTCTTTTACGAGTTGTTGCATCGAATAATGCTTGCTGCTTTATTTTTTGTTTTAAAGAAAAAAATAAATGAAAATAATAGTATAACTTAATAAGCCAAAATTTGCAGCAGAAAGCCCCAGAAAACGTGAAAATTAGGCAGAATTCACATAATTGAACCCCATGCAAATGTCACTCTCATGTCTGCCCCTAACCATACATTCTCTCAATTGCCCATCAGTCCCCATAATACTCTCTCATTATTATTATTATTATTATTATTATTATTATTATTATTATTTTCAAAACGTAGCTTTTTATTTTATACCAATTGTAGTAAAAAAGCTCTTGGGAAAATCCACCTTTATTATTCAAACCGAATTCAAATTTCTTGATTCAAATTGCATTGGCACTTGTACAACAAAAGCACATCCCAAGACGAAAGCACAAAACGACGCAGTACGGGACCCTGACTTGACTTAGACCATCTTAAATCCTATGAAATTCAATAAAAAAAAGGAACGGAACAAGACAAAGTAGTTAAAAAAATGATTTTCTAGTAGTGACACGTCAGATTCTTGGGGGCGTCGAAGGCGAGCGGCCCAACGTTAAAGAACTGCAGGTGCGGTGCCGGCTTGGGCGGCGGCGTGCGGCTAGGGATCAGGAGTGCGCCGGCGAACCCGCCGTGGAAGTTGGTCGGAACGCTGCAGTTGCTCACCGGTGACGACACCAAGAAGACCTTGCACTTGTGGAACGCCGCCGTTGTGACCCTCTTCGGCAGGAAGCAAAAGTAGCCGTTCTTGTCGGTCGTGGCTTGCTCCGTCATGCCGGACTTGGTGTTATTACACTGCAGCCTCACCTTCGCCCCTGCAAAAAATATAAGACGCAAGAAAACAANTGGGTCGGGACTGGGGCGTGAGCCGGCGGTTTAACCGGTGGGTGGCTCGGGGACGCCGTGGGTGAATGGTGGTGGTGGTGATGGTGGTGGTGGGGGGCGGCGGCCGGCGGTTGGGGAATTGCTAGTGTGGAGGTACAGTGGAGGAGGAGGAGGAGGAGGATGAGAGAAAGGTGTGAAAGGAGAAGGGCTTTTGCTGAAGCCATTGTTGTGTGTGTGTGTGTGTGTGTGTTTCTGTTTGTGTGTTGTGTGAGTGTAGGGTTTTCAGGAGGAGTTCATTTATAGGAGGTTGTTGTAGTGGAGATAGCGGTGTTTTTCTGTGTTTATTGTTTTTTGTGAGGGTGAAAAATGTAATTTGGTATAAAAACGAGGTTTTGCTGTAAATATTTTGTGGGGACTTTTTCGTGCTCATCCAGCCAGGCCTCATTTGTTTCAACACATGGGATGAGATAAAATTAAAGTAGTTTTCATTGTCTTGATTGAACTGTTTGGGATATTGTTGAGATATCAAATGTTGTTTGTTGCAGTAGATAGATAAGAAAATGGACAAATTAACTTTTAGATGAGCTTTATAAGAACATCCACAATGCTTTGAGTTCAATCTCAAAAAATTACATGTCACCTATGAAATACACTCAATTTAAAAAAATGTATTCTCCAATACAAATAAAAGTAGACTGGGTCCTGCTGATGTGACACCCAGAAAAAGAGACTCGGTCTCCCCTTAAGTCTATTTTAGACCCAAGTAAAGACCTAGTCTCTTTGCATTGGAGTAGATTTTGTCCATTTTACATAATTTTATCCATGTAATCCAAAACTTGGGTTCATTTATATGCCACATAAGAAAGACTAGACCCAATGCATTGTAGATAGCTCTAATAATCTTCCTCCCTCTTTTTTTGACCTTAGCAAGAATAAAAAAAAAATGAACAAATGTCATTTCAAGATTGGGTGACGAAAAAAAAAAAAAACTACTCTCGTGTGCGAATTCTATTATTGGGGCCCTGACATTCATCATATTTTCATGCATTATGAGTGATATATTGTGATAATTGGCCATGGTTATCGTGTGATTGTGCACCATTTTATTTTATTTATTAATCTATGATAGAGGTGTTTTTATCATTGGTTTTGCAGGAAATATGCCCGGAAATGCGTTGGAAATAGAATCGGGACGAAAAACGGCAAAAACGGGTGCAGAAGAGGTCACACGACTCGTGTGGGTAGTGACACGGGTCGTGTGGGTTGAGGAAATAAGAAACGCAGCTCCGACTTTTTCACACGGGTCGTGTGGGTTGAGACACGGGTCGTGTGGCCTCACACGACTCGTGTGGCCTCACACGACTCGTGTGACCCGGTCGTGTGACCAGTCGTGTGAGTCTGGAAGTTCGCCGAAATGTTGAAAAAGTCACACGACTCGTGTGGCATGTGACACGACTCGTGTGACGCGCAGACCCGCTGCGATTTCTTCTCTTTTTCGACCCAGAAGTGCCCTACAGTATATAACAGACCTGAGGAACTCGTTTTTTGGACTTTTGACACCATTGGAGGCCTAGAGAAAGCACGAAACACACGAGGAATTCGAGGAAGTCAAGATTGAAGATTCGGGAACTAACAGCGACAATAGTTCTTCTTTCTTTTCTCTTTTTCTTCTTCATTGAACTCATGGATTTATTTATTTTGAGTTTTGAGAATATGTTTAGTAGTTAAACCTTTTAGAGATTCTAGGATGTGTGAGTACTCGGATTATTTTATGAAATGATTTTGTTTATTCATTCTGGTTTATCATTCGTTTATCAAATTGTGTTTATTTTAATTGTGTGAATATACGGCCCGTATTTATGCATATTTGTGATTGACTTGAGATCGAGAGGAGATAGTTGATTGCTAGAATTGGGAAATTCATAACGTAAGAGACTAAACAGACCGAAAGGTTGATAGAATCTTGCGAGGGAAGTAGAATCTTAGGAGCTTATGGAGTTGATTGTTCATCTTGAGACCGAGAGGAGATAGACAACAGTTAATATTTACGATTTAACTTGTTCGAGAGAAAGGTGTAAATTACTTTAGCGATTATCCCTACGAATGGTAAAATTAAATAAGGTTTGAATGAATAATTAATCTTTGCTAGAATAATCCCGAGGAAAGCATAACCTAGAATCTATTTTCTCATTCTTGATTTATCTTAGAACAGAACAAGCCTTCATTAGTGTTAGAATTTATTTTGCAATCATTCATTAGTTTAGAATATTATCACCATTCAAATTTGCATTAGGCTGGATAATATTTAATCGTTTACATTTTGATACTTAGTTATTTTGACAACAATCTCTGTGGAATACGACCTTGATCGCCACTCACTATAGCTATACCGTACACTTGCGGGTAGTAAAAATATTTTGCGAACAGGCCTGAATTCTCGTTTGCTTTCAGAGTGTGATCTTATTCCATCGCGTGAGGGTTAGTTTATAAAGTAGTAGTGGTTTTTTTTTTCTTTTTCTTTTTCCCAATCGATTGAAAATTGCATTCCACCAAAAACAAACACATGGGACAATATACACTTCTCTTGAGATTACAAAGGCTACCAAGAGACTTAAAGACCAAAAGAAACCAAAATCTAACAATTCTACACTACTAAGCAGAATAAAGTCTAAAATGAAGAAAAAACTGCTAAACCAACTACACAAGAAATAGAAACAGAAAAGAAGCAGCCCTTACAAAACTATACAGAAGAAAATAAATCAACTACTGGATAGCCAAAGGCATCCCTAGCAATCCATTTTCCCAAACTCAATCAAAGCCACCAACATCAGGGCCTGCCTCAACAAGAGCCACCACATAAATACTAAGATCCAGCTGAGTCCTGCCACTCCATAATAGCCCTTCTCACCACGACCACTTCATCCAACCATTTCTTTTCGAACACCCATAAATTTCTCGTTTTCCAGAGCCACCACAATAGATAAACTGTTAATTGCAGCATATTTTCAAAAATATCATACTTTGGCCCTGAGCATAATTTACACTACCAATCACCAAAGTTCTCTGTATAATCCTCACACCCTTCCCAAGACAAAGGAGATAACTTCCATATCTTCTTAGCCCTACTACAGGTGAAAAAAACATGCCCAACTGTTTCATCATCCTTCTCACATACCCCACATCTGGTTCTATCTATCACTCTTCTCTTAGTCAAATTATTCAAAGTTGGCAGAATATTGTGAGAGCATTTCCATAATAAGAGTTTTAGTTTAGCTTTTACCTTAAGACACCAAGTTCTCTTCCACATGTTCAATTGTTGTCCTGCTCCACTACTGCATTCCGGCTGAATTTCTCTAGTGTGCTCCTTCTTTAAGATCATATTATAGGCTGACTTTACAGAAAATGATCCCTTAGTATTCAAATTCCAAACCAGGGAGTCAGCCTTGTTATGGTCCTTAAGTGGAATCTTCAATATAGCTTCAGCCTTTGCCTTAGAGAAAATATTTTCAATAAGTTGGTTGTTCCACTCCTTTCCATCATTCATCATCAACTGGCTCACCCATTCTAGACCATTGGCATTATGCTCACATGTTCTTGCTTTGAATTCAAGAAGTGTAGGTATCCATGGATTCCTCCAAATCTTTGTTGTCTTCTCATCTGCAATGTGCACTCTGAGTCCCATTCTGAGATATTTGATTGAATCTACCCAGCTCTTCCACATCCACGATTGGTTCCCTTTACTCTTCAAGTCCCACCAGTTGTTATTTTTTATGTATTTTGCCTTGATCAACCTGCTCATGAGAAGTTGGGGCTGAGAAAGAATTCGCCAAACCTGTTTCATCAACAATGCCTCATTAAACAACTTTAAGTTCTTGAACCGTAGCCCTCCTTGATTCTTAGGTAGAGACATTTTCCCCGAACTTAACCAATGTATTTTGTCTCTTTCCTCCATATTGTCACCCCACCAGAATTTTGCTGTGACTGATTCCAGATTCTTGATAATAGAGCTTGGAAGTCTAAAACAAGACATTATGTAAACTGGAAGTGCATGAATCACTGCTTTAATCAGCACCTCATTTCCCGCTGGGTTAAAAAACCCATTCTTCCAGTTCCTTATTCTATTTTGAGCCATCTCAACAACAAAGTTGAAAAATTCTGTTTTAGAACTTCCTATAACAAAGTAGTGGTTTTTCTCTAGCAGAGTTTTGAGTTTTCTTAAGATTCGGGGGTAGTTAGGAGAGAAGTGACAGGTTTTTTAGTGTTTCTGTTCTGGGCGAATACTTATCTTAATTTTTTGTTACTTTTCTTTGGTTTATTATTTATAGGCTTGCTGATGGATCAAAACTCAGCCAGGGCAACTAGTTCGACAGGTTTAGTAAAAGAGTTAGAGAGCTGGTTGAAGAACATAACTCTCTTGAAATCGGAGAATAGGTTCATTGAAATTGAAGTGAATGATATACGGACCAATGAAGAATAATGTAACGAAAGTCTATTTGGGAAAGTAGTTAGGGATCGATAAGCTAACTTGATTGGCGTCAAGAGAACAATGGGCACTAATTTGGCAGATTTAATATTCGGTCAAGGTGTGGGAGATATGGCCCAACTTTTTCCAGTTTATCTTTGGAAATCTTGATGATAAGAAAAGAGTGGCATCATGCATTAACTAGATTTTCGAAAATCAATACTTAGCCCTACACAAATGGGAAGATGGACTGAATGAACATTCATATTTCAACGAGATTGATTTATGGGTCCAGGTGAACAATGTACCTCAAAATTGGTTATGCGCATAAGTAGGAGTCAAAATTGGACGAACTTTTAAGAATCTTAAAAAACATGGTTGTGACTAAAACAGATGGTCACAGAGGTAGTTTTATCTGTCATCTGGTTACATTGGATGTGGTAGAGCCTATATCAAAATGTGCTAGTATAAAACTGCAGGAACATAAGTGATGGGCTTTCAGTATGAGAAGTTGGTCAATTTGTGCTATTACTGTCAAAATATAGGCCACCTAGATAGATTCTAATGGAAAAAGGCCAGAGGACATCTCAAAGGAAACATTACAGGATGGACAATATGGGGATGTTGGAACTTGAAAGCAAATGAAGGCAGTTTTGGTCTCAGACTAAACTTATCAAACAACCCTTCTAGTAATTCCACTGGACCCTAACCTCCCTTTAATATTTTATTCCAAGTTTCTCGGGAAAAAGATAATTTCAACCTGTCACCAGTTAGCAGAAGCCAAGGGAACCAATCAAATAGATTGCATCTGGAAGTAGCAATGTGGCTCAACTCCACCCTAGAAATACTGAACAAATCAATCCCAAAACATCCTACCCCAACACCCTAATATAAGTAAGCTCATCCATTTTTTTTTACTGTTAGACGTATTGAAGACTAAAAAAGATGCTGAGATGTGGAAAGAAAAAAGTGCAGATATGGAGGTAGATGAGGCAGAAGTAGAGAAAAAAATGGAACAAAAGCCAGGGAAAAAGAAAGTAGATGGAATGAACTCTAAAGTGAAGGTATGGAAGAGGGCACCAAATCAAAGGGGCAGACTAAAGAGAAACTCAGAAAAATTGGGGGTTAGTCCTTCTGTCTCAGAGCTGACAAGGAATAGGAAATTAGAAGAAACTAAAGAGGGATTGGTGGGGGAAAATGCATTGATGAAGAGGTGGTGGCAGCCAACCTAGAATGTTCCCAAGGTGATACATGAAAGTGATGATGTTGAACTGTAGAGGTTTGGGTAGACCCTCTATAGTTTTCCAACTCATAAAATCTATCAGAATCCATCACCTAAATTTTACTTTTACTTTCGATTTTTTTTTTACTAAAACTGTTTGCAAGAAGCTTTTGGTTTAGGTATAGATGGAAAGTTTTATAACCTTAGGGTTTCAATGGCAATTTGTTGTTCATGTGGAAAATGACGTGTAAATACTGAAAATAACTTGCCACCAATTCCATTTTGAAGTAGAGTTTAGAGGCCCCAATGAGGAGAGAGCTAAATAGATCATCCTGGTCTATATTAGCACAGAAAGAAGAACCATGGAAGAAAAATGTTGTATTCTAAAGGATCAGAAGGAGGGGAGGGGGGAACTGAAATGAGATTTGTGGTGAACATGAGAAAAAAAGGGGAACAAGAAGGCCTGAAAGAAGTTTTTGGGATTCCATGGTTTTATTGCAAATATAGGGATGTTGGAGATCAGAATGAATGGTCATAGTTTTACACTGGGAAATAACAAAGAACAAGAGAGGTTTGTAGAGGAGAAGCTTGACAAATTTTTTGGGTCTTTGATTGTCTATCACTTCACCCAAACTGTTGTAGTGAAACTTATTTTAGGAGTGCTTCTGATCATAGTATGCTTGCGCTTGAGGATGAACCAAATAGTTTTTTAAAGAATAAAAGTGGTTTCAATTCGATAAAAGATGGATAAAGGTTGAGGGAGTGAATGATATTATTCAACAGGCCTGGAACTTTCCCCAAACAAAAACTCCAATGTTCAAAGTTATAGAAAAAGTCAAGAAAACTAAAATGGCCTTACTTAACTCGTATTTTGCTTGTGTTTAATCTTTCCCGATTCAAAATCAGAATCGATTTTTTTTTTTTGAATTAGTTTTTTAATAGTGTTTGGTCAGAATCCCCTTTTGACTATCTGCCATCGATGCCATTATTATTAGTGAGGAATAATTCTTTCGTACTTATAGAGATATGGGACATAATATGGATATAGTAAGTCTCGCTTGGGCTGCTTTAATGGTAGTCTTTACATTTTCCCTTTCGCTCGTAGTGTGGAGTAGGTCATTTAAATCAGAAAATGTCAAAACTATTGGGATATCATCCTTGATGCTGGAAGAAATGAAGGAACGTGAGAGCAATATAAACTTATAGGAGTAAGAGAGGATAAAGTGTGAACTGGACAAAGCTAGCTCATTGCATTGATGAAGAACTTTGGTAGCAAAAAACAATTACCCAGTAGTTCAAAGAAGAGGACAAGAGCATTCAGTTCTTCCATGCCCTCACAATGCATAGGAGGAGAACCAATGTTATAACAAGACTGATTGATGAGGATAATAGAGTATGTGAGACCAAGGAGGAAATTGAAGATTGTGTTTGCAGTTTTTATGATAATTTGTTCTAGACTGAGGGTTCTAAGAGGAAAATGATTTTCTTCAACTAATTCCCAATGCTCTAATTGAAGATATGAACCAAGAACTTGTGGCTCGGGTTGAGGAGGATGAAATCAAGGAAGAACTGTTCAGCCTAAACCCAAAAAAAACACCTGGAGAAAATGGTATGTCCCCGTTATTTTTCCAGCATTTGGCCGTGGTTAAGAATGATCCTTGTAATCTGTCTAAGAAAATGGTATGTTCTCGTTATTTTTCCAGCATTTGGCTATTGTTAAGAATGATCGTTGTAATCTGTCCATAGTTTCTTTGAGTCTAGTCACATTCTGACAAATTAGAATCATACTCTCATCACTCCAATTCCTAAGTGCCTAAATCATGCGATCTTGAGTAATTTCATACCAATAAGCTTATGTGCTAGTAACTTCTAAAATTATCTCAAATATCCTTGCTTCTAGAATCGAAAATAGTCTTAGTATTTGTGTGAGTGAAAATCATGCATAAATTATGAATGAAAAATAGTTGTTAGATAATTTAATAATTGCAAATAAGGCCATTTATTTCCTGAATAGACATAGATCAGGAAAAACCTATTACATGGCAGTGAAATTATATATGATAAAAGCTTACGATAGGATCTAATGGATTAGTATTAATAAAATCATGTTAAGGATGGGTTGTCATTATACTTTTGTTAAATGGATCCATGCATGCATTTTTTCTACTTTATTTCCTTCAATCTGAATGGGGTGGTGTGTGTGTGTACTTAACTCCTAGAGGGATTAGACAAGGGGACCGTATTTCTCCTTACCTTTTTATTCTGGTTCCCGAGGTCCTCTCTAGGATGATCAAATTTGAGAAAGTTCTGGGAATTTCATGGAGCTTAAAATCTCTATAGGATGTCCACATTTCACTCACTTGTTGTTTGTTGATGATTCTCCTATCTTCTGTCAACTTGATTGCAATCAAGCTTATCTTCTTCTCGTTATCTTACACAGATACCACTTGTTTGCAGGGAAAAAAGTTATTTTAGAAAAATCTTTTATTTTCTTTAGCAAGAATACACCCTACAACTTTAAATGAACATATTTCAAATCCTAAATGATCCAAATTCATAGGTCCTCTAGATATCTAGAATTACGTTTAGGAATAAGTAAATTAAAGAAAGAATCATTTGATTTTGTCCTAAATGTCGTGACAAATAGACTGGAAGTTGGAAGAATAACCTCTTGTCTACTGCTGGGAAAGAAGTACTAATCAAATATGGCCGAAAAGCTCTACTTGTGTTTGTTATAGTCTTGATTTTGGCTGCCCAAGGGTGTTTGCAGTGAGGTACGCAGATTGTGTGCTAGTTTTTGGTGGAGCGAAGGGGATGAGTGAAGTCCAAAAATATCAAGCTTTTCAATGAAGCACTTATTCTGAAAGAAATATGGAGAATCGCAACCAAACCAAATCTTCAGGTCAGCAAAGTCCTTAAAAAGAAATACTTTCCAAATGGTTCTTAGTTTGATGCCCAACAATCACAAAGCTCATCTTTGTTATTGAATAGTTAACTTGATGTGAAATCTGTTTTTCAACAAGGCTTTAGAGTAGAGGTAATGGATGGGCCGACTACTGTTCTGAAGGATCTTTGGATACCTTCTTTAAAGGCACGTATACTATAGGTCATAATATATGAAAAATCAGTCAGTATATCTGATATAAAACTTATTATACACATTTCGATAAATTATACAACTCATAAAATAAAATGTAAGAATAATTAAAGTTCATCTAATTAAGTTAAAATATTTACTACCAAAATGCATATTTTATCATACATTAGTTATTAATAATATTAACTAATTATAAATTAACAATAACAAATTTGTGAATGTTCTTATAAAAATTACTTACCAAAACCTTTTCTTCAAATTATTTATTTTAAAATTAATATTTTTTTATTTTTTATTTTTATCTCACTAAGCGATTTTTAAATAGCTAATTAATTGTTTTTACTGACATAGCAAATCGCTTTTAATTGCGTAAAAACTGGTATAAAAATAAAAATATAGTATTTTTTTAGACTAATTAATTGGTCACTATCCTTTATACTTATATATATATATATATATATATATGCAATTCAATTAATGCGGATGACTCAGTATATGTAAGTTATAATTCATAATAAATGGTATATGTAAGTTACCGTTTTGCTATAGAGTCATCGGATGACTCGGCTTATGGAGCCATCCGTAGTTATTCACTAATAGTGTATACCGTGCATTGACATGTGTCCTGCAATAAATACACATTAGACATGTGTCAGTATATAAAATTATGGATGACTACATAAGGGAGCTATCCGATGGCTCCATAGAATTTCTGTGTAAGTTACGGTTTCTGTGGAAGTTACATAATCATCAAAAATTATATTTTATTTTTTTAAAGCTATTCATTGTAAAAGCAATATTAGCTTTTTAATCATATAATTTAATGGCATGGAAAAACCCCTTAAAAAATTTATATAATAAATAATATTGTTTCAATATTTTGCTAGGTAATTAATTGGTAAGAATCCATAAAAGTAACAAAAAAGTATGTTATGTGATACATTTTATGCAATCAATGTATAGATTAATTTGTAGTTAAATTATTTATTTATTAATTATAAAATGGCCTAATTGCCGGTAAAATTACGACCTTACAACTTTTTGCCGTTTTAACCAAACTTTTGGAATTTAGCAAACATAACATAACTTTGTCTATTTTTTGGCAATTCGAATCACAAGGCCGTACTTCGGGCTTTGTCTGTAGACGTGGCGGATGACATGGCGATTTCTGCTGAAGTGGCGGATACATGGCGATTTATGGTGACGTGGCGGTAAGATTTATGGTGACGTGGTGGTAAAAAATTAAACAACACTGGGGTTCGAACTTAGCACCTCCATCTTATAATATGGCATTGCAACCACCACACCAATCCCAGTTGTATGTTCAATTTAGAAACGCCTAATATATATGGACAATACGTATGAATGAATCAAATTAAATTTAAAAGTCAATATAAATTTTAAAATATATTAATAAGATATAAACTTATAATAATTAAAATATAATAAAAATTATATAATATTAAATGAAAATAATATAATATTAGATAATAAAGTGTCGAAAATTGGAAAAGTAAAAAAAAATCAATTAAAATAAATAGAAATCTTAAATGAGTATAAAAAAATTAAGNGGAATGAACCCATCTCTCTGTGGGAGTCCCCAGGCGGGCATCTTGGATTTGGAGGGGCATCCTCTCCTCCAGAGATGGGTGCCTCACATCCACTCCTTCTAGTCGAGTGCCTTGCGAGTTGCGGCGACTTGAAAAACAGAATAGAAGAAAAGGTAACAGAAAGTCTCACAAAGAAGAAGTATTTAAATTTAATCATTAGTATTTTCATTTTCAAATTTATATATTTTATTTTATTTTAATAAATAAGAAATATATAAATTTATTTAAATTTAATTTAATTTAAATGCACTCTACTATAATAAAATTTATCTTACTTTATTTTAGTTTATTTTTTATTTAATATTACATAATTTATTTTGTTATGTTTTAATTATTATAAGTTTATATCTTATTAATATAATTTAATATAATTTACATTATATTTTAAATTTAATTTCATTTGTTCATACGTAGTATCTATATATATTAAACACTATTAAATTTGACATACAACTTGGGTTGGTGTAGTGGTTGCAATGCTATTATACAAACTTGAAGTCCCAAGTTCGAACCCCAGTGTCGCTTATATTTTTTATCGCTACTTCAGCAGATATCGCCATGTTATCCGCCACGTCTGCAGACAAAGCCCGAAGTTCGGCCCGGTGATTCAAATTGCCAAAAAATAGACAAGGTTATGTTATGTTTGCTAAATTCCAAAAGTTTGGTTAAAACGGCAAAAAGTTGTAAGGTCGTGATTTTATCGGCAATTAGGCCTAATAAAATTTTAAAAAATATGATATATAAGTTATCTATTTTATAACTTTAATACTATATATACACCATGTTGATAATCAGAATCAGTCAACGGTTAAATAAAAAGTTAGTAAAGATTTAGGATGGATAAGTATCAGAATAAGAGAGGATTTACGAAGGAAACTAGCTTTATTGCTTTAATTACGACTTCGATCTCTGAAGTTGAGGTCGCCTCTCTTGTTACACTTGGGGTTAATTACAGTATTTGTTACAGAGTAAATGTAGAGAGAGAGGGTTAGCAGAGATTTCAACAACCCTTATTAAATGAGGGTGAATTCCTATTTATAGTAACACAAAACTGGTACTATTCATTAATTGTTCATCCTGTCACTTCAGAATGATTGGCGCAGCGCCGTTCTGACGGACATTGAATGAGGTCTAAGGTTTTTCCAATGATTACCTGTTGGACAATAATTCCACACATGTGAAGAATTTAATGCTGATAGGTCGTCCTACCGATCTAGGTGTGCTAGGGTGACAGACTTGGGTGGCGCGTCCCATCAGCAATCATCACTTGACAAGTGGCAATATCATATGATTTCCATGTCCCATACGCGTGTCAGGGCCGATCTTGACGAATCTCCAGGTCGAACTCTCATCAAGACTTGGGCTACCCGCGCCCTCTGGTCTTCGAGGTCTTCTTTTCTGGTTCA